GGAGGAGTAGAAGGGGGTGGGGGTGGGGAGGGAGGAAGACGGGGAGGAGGGGATGGGGAAGCGGTGGTTGTGGAAGAAAAAGGGGGGAGGAAAGAGTAGGAAGGATTGAAGGGGAGAAAGTATAAAAAATAACGATGACAATTAAAAATAGGAAGACAGTATTGACATTCAGAGATGGTCTTAATCATTATGCAGAATATATTAAAAATCAACACAGCTTACTTCTGTTCTGTCCCTCTGCTGATTTTGTTACTTCGAGCACTCCGAACCGGCGTCTGTGGTGTAGCACTTAGGTGCTTCATGGTCTCAAGCAGGAGATCTAAGTTCGATTCCCGATTGGGGAGACTTTAAAAAAATCGAATACCTTGGTCTTTCAGCTGGGAAGCTGTACCCTTGTCCAACCGATTTAGCCTTGACAGGCAGGGTAGAATGCCCGCTTCCTAAATGATCTAACTTTTGTCGATATGGCACAGGAGGCCGAAGGGCTAGAACTCAGATGGCCGCTGGATCAGAAAAGAAATGTAAAAGCAAAATTGTCGATGCGGTCGTAAAAACATCTACATCTACCCCCGGCACGTTTTCTCAGTCTCGACACGCGACCTCCTTATCTCTGTGGCTACTAAGACTTGATGAAACCAAAGATCGTACATAACAAGATTGTTCACTCCTCTCTTTCAGCCAATTATAAAAAGTGTCCTCAAAATCCGGTGGCGCCCTCTTCGAAAAAGCGCGGACTTTGCGAACAGAGTTATATATTGCCCTACTTGTGTGAAAAACAATAAAAGCGAAACTATAAAACTGTGCTTTTCCAATTCTTCTTCTGGAGAAACGAAAGAGAGCTTCAAAACAAAGACTGCAGCGCCATCTGAACCAATGCACGGACTTCCACGGACACTTTTTTGGCTGAGTGAACTATCTTGTTATATGTACGATCTTTGGCTGAGTGAACTATCTTGTTATGTACTATCTTTGATGGAACACACGCGCGATTGCAGCGGAATACGAAGGGTGCTCAATAAGTTTACTCCCGAAAATGAAGAAATTGCCATAAGCCTACAACAATGAAGCTTGAAGAATGTGATTTCTATATGTTTAGAACACTGGATGGGGAATTTCGGGAAAACCCATTGTGCAGTAAGAATCTGAGATCATTTTTAATGAAAGTGGTCCTTGAATACCCAAAGCTAAAGTTTCAGTCCCCCCCCCACCCCCCCCCCCCCACTAACTCCCTGTGACCCCCTTGACCCCATCCCCAGGACCCCATGACCCCACTCCAGCCTCCATGACCCCCATGACCCCACCATGACCCCCACTCACATGCTCCAGAGATCCACTTGCAGCCCGTACTTGTCGTGGTTGAGCAGTTCAGGAGCGGCGTAGGCGGGGCTGCCACACTGAGTCACACAGAACTCCTGGGCGCGCGTGCCCTCGGGGCTCGTGGACACCTTGATGAAGTTGCTTAGTCCGAAATCTGTGGCAGGCGGTGATACGTCCTTATTGAACAATTGATGATGATGATGACTTTGGTGTTGATGTTGTTGTTGTGTAATTAATGATGATGAAGGTGATGGTGATGATGATGTTGTTGCTGTTGTTGTTGATATGATAATGATGATGATGATGATGATGATGATGATGATGATGATGATGATGATGATGATGATGATGATGATGATGATGATAATGATGATGATTTATTTTACCATGTTCCTGACGAACCTGTATAAGGCCGAAATGTTGAGCTTTTATTGTATTGCATTTATAAATATTGAAAGTTCACACTCTCCACCAACTTTTGGGGGACTTTTTTTTCTTTGAGCTTACAACAGCAACGGTGATGATGATGATGATGATGATGCTGATGATGATGATGATGATGATGATGCTGATGATGATGATGATGATGATGATGATGATGATGATGATGATGATGATGATGATGATGATGATGATGATGATGATGATGATG